TTTTACTAACGAACCGGATAGGGTTGTCTAAGGGGCGTGGCCAATTACTCGCAAACGGCGATAGGTCAAGACCACTGATCTCTATATAAAGACAGACCCCGCCTCTTGACTTCCTAGATTTTGACCAATCAGCGGGCGCATAGGCCTATCGAGTCTTCGGTCATTCACCCGTTGCGCGTCACTGTGGACATGGATAAAAAAAAACTGTCACGGCGCGCGGCGCTCGTTATAATGTTACGCGAATGCGCTCCTGGCTGTTGTTGTATTACAAAACACTGCATTCGAATTGACCAATCAAAGCGTTAGTCCTGATTTGGGAATGAAATGACGTCACGATTTAGTAAAGTCGACACCGATTTGGCTGGCGCGCGATTCACATAAATTTGCATGTCAGGAGATGTCAGACGTTCACCCGGAGATAGATAAGGCTCTGTGGAAATGGGTGCTACTCAGACTAACGGTCATGAACGTAGTTGAACTTAGTAGGGTGTGACCGTAGTTGACCGTAGAAGACCCTATTAGTCGTAGTTAAACGTAGTTAAACGTAGTTATGAACGTACTTTGACCTTGGAGGAAAGCCATGATTTGGCCGTAGTTAGCCCAAAAGTTTCCAACATGTTGAAAATATGTCTACGGTCAGCGTGAATGCCTATACCGTACTGTGATCCTATAGTATGTACGTTGTCAACCCTAGTGGACCATAGTTGACCCTACTTGACCGTAGTGTTGACCGTAGTTGACCCTAGTTGACCGTAGTAACCATGGCACTATACAGTTGAGGTACGGTCAACTACGGTCGAACTACGTTTTAAGTACGTTCACAGTACGGTCACAGTACGGTTTAGTTCGATAAGTAGTTGAACTAGGGTGAATGAGAAACAAAAGTTCAGATATAAACAAACAGCAGTTTTGTCCTTCTGACTTCTCAAAGCGCAATGGCTGTCCCCACGCCGTGGCCGACCCACACTACGTAGGCGCGGTCGCGAGCTTTTACCGTAGTACAACGTATAGTTGACCACAGTTGCACGTAGTTCACACGTAGTTCGACCGTAATTCAACGTAGTTGACGTAGTTCAACCCTAGTCGATTTGACCGCAGATCAACGTAGATCAACGTAGTCGACAGTAGTTGCACGTACTTCACCCTACTAAACCGTTCTTTATATTTGCACTTTTGCCAATTGTGAACCTACTTCGACCCTACTTCACCCTAGTTGACCGTTGTTACACTACGGTCAACTACGGTCAAATGAACTACGTTCAACTACGTTCATTACCGTAAGATGTGACCACCGCTTAAGTTTTGCCAGGCGGAAGTCAAAACCCTTGTTAAAATTATATAGAAAGCACAAAAACGTTTTGTTCTCCTCATGCCTACCCCTTCGTTTCTTTTTAGGTGTCAACTTAGGTCAAACCGGGGTCATGCAAGGGGTCAAATTGAAAATTATCCCAATTATTGCAAGAAGTATATCAAATTACGCGTCTGGTCATAAGAAATACAAAAATTAATGTTTGCCATATATCCAAACTTCACTTATGTCAATCAGATTAGGTTTTGCCCTTCACCGACGTATAAAAACTGTATACTCAGTGTGCTGCCTCCCGAGTGAAAGTTGGAAAAGAAATCACTCGGGTGGGACTCGAACCCACGACCTCCTGCTTTCTAGTGCAGACGTCTTACCACTCGACTACCGAGCTAACGGAATCGGTTGGCTGGTTATGTCGCTTATGTCCCTATGGACAGAAACATGGAAAGGTCACGTGACTTTGACCGTTCGGGGTGTCAAATTTATCAACATGGTCAAGATAATGCAATTTGAATGCTTTTGGTGTCCAATAATAATTATTATATGTTTTGTGAAATGACAAATTCAACGATGCAACTTAAAACAATCAAATGGCCATCTTCACCCTGAAATTTCAAATTGTGCCCGCCAGCAATGTTGGGTGTAAAATCCTGCATGTATTGTGTTACTTTGAAATTTTAAGGTGGAGATCATTATTTTGATTTTTTTAAGTTGTATAGTGGAATTTATTATGTCAGGAACAATTGCACCATCTTGACCATGTTGATAAATTTGACCCCGAAGTCAAAGTCAGGTGACCTTTCCATGTTTTTGTCCATAGCGGTATAAATGACGTTTGGAGATATGGCAAACTATAGATCATTGTATTCCTTCTGACCAGAACAGTAAATTTATATATTCTTGAAATAATTGGAATAATTTTCAACTTTGACCCCTGCGTGGCTCCGGTTTGATCTTAGTTGCCCCCCAAACAGAAACGAAGGGGGAGGTGCAAGGGGAACAAAATATCTCTGTGCTTTCTATATACTTTTATGAATTTCGAAAAAAAGGTTTTGACTTCTACCAAGAAGGGGACTACGAAACGTCTTATCTGAAGGGTTTGGGGCCCATTGCCCGCGTACGGTCTATCGTGGTTCAGCTTTTCAAAGTCGTACTTCTACTTTAAAACGTCGTGTTTCAACTTTTCGGTGTCATGTCAACTCGCCCCCCGGCCGACTGCGGTGATTTATTTGCAGCACACATCGTCAATGGATCATGGTTGTTCAGCTAGTTTGATGTATATTCATAAGAGTCATGCATGTATAGCATTTAAAGAACGGCTTTCGTCGAGTGGTATGTTATAGACCACGGCGAATGTCGTGGTACGGTCTATGATAGTGAGCAGATTCGCTGATTAATTAGGCAAGACAACCGCCTCTTGACCTCTAAATTTTGACCAATCAGCGGGCGCTTTCTATATCGGGTCTTCGGTCATTCACCCGCTGCGCGTCATAGACAATGTTGTATTACAAAACACTGCATTCGAATTGACCAATCAAACCATGTTAGTCCTGATTTGGGAATGAAATGACGTCACGATGTAGTCTCCTCCGATTGGCTGGCGCGCGGCTTGCGTATGTCTGCTTGTCTAGACATATCAGACGTTATGCAGGAGACTTACTCCGTGGATATATAACGGGTGATACTCAGACTATTCGTCGAGCTGCTACAGTGGCGTATAGTGGAATTATTATCGCAAGGTCTGTGGTTCGACCCCGGCACCCGTGTCCCAATTCATTACATAGCTTTGTTGGTTGGGATAAGTTTAATTGAAGGGAAAACACTAATAGAACCTAAGTGTCTTCCATCTAGACAGCGTGATAAATATTCATGTTAGGATTCGTGATTGGTTAAAATACGATATATGTTGCAGAAAAAAAATACGCTGGCCGACTCGCCCCTTACAATCTCACCTCCTAGGCCGACTCGCCCCCTGAGTTGGGATTTCGTTGGTACGGTTTGGACCTTGTTGTATCGTGTTTGCATGACGGAGGCCTACGTATTATAACCAGTTACCACGCAAAATTTCCAATGGAATTAATGATGGCGTTTACATAGAAATTAAAAAGTTAAGGACATTTTAAGAGGGTTAAGCCTAAAGCAAAGAACTCCTGAAGTAACCCCAAAACGATCCAAAAATGTGATGTATTTAAATAGCATTCCTTATTTATTTATTTTTTAAGGTTTTTAATCGCATATCATACATCCATACACGAGTATTATACACTTCAGTTGAAAAATAACCAAACCCACACCTGTTTAACAGAATAAAGGTCTACGGATGTTCCTGAAAAATTTAAGGTACTTTTTATGAATATTTCTTCAGGTCTGGGCCTACATAATTAAAACCAACATGCATACAATGTGAAAATACATTTAACCAGTTCATACAAAATACCAAATTCCCAACCTTCAACAACGGCTGACAAACCAACAGCCCCTCTCAAAAAGTGGCAACCTCATACGTCTATGGAGCGACTAAATTATGGATTCTGTGCTGTTCATATTTCACCCCGTTTG